TAGCCTTATTGTTTCATGAACTGGTAAGGGTTGTGTCTGATTGATCAGCTTATTTTGCTACTGAACACTAAGTTGCATTTAGTTTAACCTCTGGGTGCTTAAAAAAAATGCCTAGGTTGCCATAGTGATTTCTGCCCGATTTTTTTTTTCTTGCTGCTCACTGCCATGTTACTAGGGTGCATTTTTGCTGTGTGTTGTGTCTACAGATCCTTTGCCACATGCATTTTTTCCTTTGAAACTACTGCATAAACGTGTATATTAGTTCATGCTTCTCCCTCAGAGCAAAGCACACAGAGGGAAATGTTTAATCAAGTGATATCTGTGGCAAAGAGTAAACCCTGGTTTTCCTATTTAATGAAGCCATAATCAGTGGTAATGGATGAAAACGCCATTAAAAAAATATTAAGTCTGTTCCCAAGGGGAAGTTCATTTGTTGGAAACAAGCTAGTTAATCAGCTTCAGAAAAATATAGGGTTGGTTTTTTTTTTGTAATACAAACCGATTTTTCCAGAGACAAAGCAGGAAGACGGACAAAAACATCCATTGGTTTCGCTCTTCAAAAATTAATTACATATAGCAATAGATGTTCTTCCCCTACCAGTCAGGTAACAGCAGACTTCTGTCTGTACAGGACCAAAAAAACAGGACTTGGATGAGCAAAATATTAATGATTTCCCCCCTGATCTTTAAGAGTATGTCTACAGTGCATCAGGGAGTGAGCCTCTGAGCTGGGGACGACCCACTACATTTTGGCACTGAGGCAGGGAGCTCAAATGACGCCCCCATGTCCCCTTGCTTGGGCCAAAACTTTGAAAGGTCTCAATTCTGCCTTCTTCCTGTTCTACTCCTCTCATGTTACTGCTCTGCTACCTACATGTGCACCAGCAGCAGACACAATTTTCTACACTCTGGGTCCTAGTGGTGCCCCCCCACAGTCTGGCACCTGAGGAGGCCACCTCAATTCACCTCATGGTAGGGCCAGCCCTGCTCTGAGCCCAGGTCCCCCCAATCTATGGTTGTAGGGCTCACGAGTGCACTAAAAATACCGTTGGGTAGGCCTGTCCTGGGGTGCAGTGATTCAAAGGGCCTGAAGGAGCAGCAGTGCGAGAGCCCTGACCCTGGACATCACCCCTGGAACGCTGCGCACTGTGGGTGAATTTGAGGGTTGGAGAAGTACAGCGGTATGCTCTAGGCAGCGCTGAGGGCTGGCTGACCCAGCCTTGCCCCTTCTGCCTGAGGCCTCAGCCCTTCCAGGAACGGGCCTTCTTCCCACCTTGCTCAAGTCTGTCAGCCTCCCCACCTGTGGGCTTTGAACCTGGCAAGGCGAGGGGAGATCTGATCTGCAATGTCAAAAGAACTACCCATGGTGCTATTTGTAGTGCAGTGGTATGAGTCCTGCTACCACAAGTCTGTGAACATGGGCTCACTCCCAGATGCAGTGTACAAGTAACCTGAATTAATTCACATAGCCAGCTAACCACAAGGAGCACAGAGAGCCAACAGTCTATCAAAGTGTTCTACTCTGTTTGGTTTATATATTCAGATCATAATTTAATTTCTGTGGTTTTAGCCACAGAGCATTCATAGGAATTCTCTGGCTCTGCATAGGAAATTTAACATTTAGATCAGTGCAGATCTGTTCTTCGCTACTGCTGCTGGGATATGAAGCTCAAGAGTTTGTCAGTGCCTTTTGGTTGGTCCACAGCAACCCCCTCTTGGCATACCATTATGTAGGGTAGTGGTTCCCAATCTTTTTGATACTGGGGACCAGTAAACCCATTCATGAGCTTTTGGAGGACTGGTAACATTTATTCGCATATTTGTATATTCATTAAGCAAATGATGAATATGCAAATAAATTGTGTCACTGGCCCCTACCTGTTCGGTGAGTTGTTCCACCCCCACTCCTAGCCCCAATCCCTCTGGCTGCGTCCAGCGCCGGGTGTTCTGTATCAGTGCGCACAGCACACGGCCTTCTCGCTAGGCCCTAGCACCCGCCGGATCTAGTCCCGCCACCTGGAAGTACGCCCAGCAGAGATGCCGCGGCAGTGGGCTCTCTCCCAAGAAGTCCGCACTGCCGCATTTGGCAGTGCAGGGTGCTGCTACCCCTTCACACAAATTAATAGGATTGTGCGCAATAATTTGTCTAAGGACCGATATTTTTTTTCTAAGGACTGGTATTGGGCTGCGGACCACACTTTGGGAAATGCTGATGTAGGGCATAACATGTTTAGGGTATGGCTAGACTACATTGTTTTTTTTAAAAAATTGTCCTTTTTTTTTTTTTTTGAAAAACACTGCAATTGTGTTCTTTCAAAATTAAATCGAAAGAATGGAGGGGAGGTTTCAACATTGGTAAACTTCAAATTACGAGGAAGAACATCTTTTTCGAAAGAGCTCTTTCAAAAGAAGGCGTGTGTGGACACAGAACGGGGACATTTTTTGAAAGAAGATGCAATCGAAAAAAGCACAGGTCCCTGCTGGCCATTCTGTGAATAGCAATCAGGACTTTCTTTCGAGAAAGCGTCCATGCACTCTCGACGCTCTCTTCGAAAAAGCAGATCGATTTGTCAATCCAGTTTTGAGGTGTGGATGCTCTCTTTCAAAAGAAGCTTGCAGTCTAGACGTACTTAGAGAGAACAGTGTTATGTCTACATAGGTAACGGGGATAAATGAAGAGCTGGGTGACAAAAAAGTCCAAATTTTCTTTTCCTGTGTCTGGATTTAGTCATGTGTGTCCATCCTCTGGAATATGCGGGTATAATATTCTCTGCTGACCTGTTTGTTTTCTTCTATGTGGCCTATTTTATTTGCTGTTACTCTGAACAAAAGAGAAACATCTTCCTGCCAAATAAATAGTTTTATTGGAAGATATTTAGGGATCATTGCAGAATAATTTGTCTGTTTACCGTGGTATATCACATACATTTATAAATTAGATAAATGCAGAAATTACCTTACTATTAAAGTGCCACTCCTAGGGGTACATCTAGACTGCATTGCTCTTCCGGGATACCGGAAGTATCCCAAAATAGCAACGCCACGTTTTTAAAAGTGCCCTCTATTTCCTGAAATAGTGGATGTACTATGCCGGCATCCCTGTAACTCTTGTTGTACGAGGGCTAAGGGATTTGTTAGAATAGGGCCTCATTTTGAAATTTGGTGCTGTGTAGACAGTACCAAATTCCAAAATAAGCTCTTTCGATTTAGACTTAGAATAAGCTACAAAATTTGCATAATGCTGTCCAGACACACCCTTGAATCCAGAGTAGTGGCCAGGTGTATAGTCTGTGCTTGGAATACTGCTTCACAGTGAAGAGGCCTGTTTCTGCAAATATCTTCTGTTTTAGAAAAGTTGTATATTAAAGTCTCACGGAGGCTGAGGAAACAGAGCAGCTGCACCAGGCCTGTGTACTTGGCTGCATGTTTAGGGCCTCTTACAGCATATGTTTTCCTGAACATAGAGTTCATTTGGAGTAAGGTGGAGCTCATGTACTCCACCAGATCGCCATCTGGGGCATCCTCTGACTGCAGGTGGGGTTGCTTTAGAGCAGGCCTGTTACTGTGGTTAACTCATACAGGGGGAGCTGGAGTGGGTGCCATAGTGCCCTCCTATTTCCAGCCATACATCCGCTCTGTTCTGCAGGCCTGACCATCAAGTCGGTGCAGCTGAGACCCAAGGCTATTGCATCTATATTGTTTGGATGACTCTGCATTGACCCTTGGTTCTCAATATTCTAAGTATTGAAAACATGATCCCAGAAGTAGTTTCCCTTCATTTCCAGCACAGAACAACACACACAAAGCCTAACTGGGCAAACAAATGCTCAAGAACTAAAGTGCCTAAGGAGTGTGGTTCAGTGGGATTTGTTATTACAATCCGTGTGTGAAGAATAAAGTATTTGTACGGCATTGTAGTTGAAATGCGGGTGATTGCAGTTTTCCTGAGAAAGAACTGAGCAGAGATCGGAGTTAGTCACTAGGCTGGAATCAGGAAGCAAGAGGCAGGGTCAGAATGTTGATGAAAGCAGAGACCTGAGATCAGAAAGCAAGGGGTTGCGGGAAGCTACAAATTTAGGGGTTGCCTAGACAAATTCCTTGGACAGAACACACTCCAGAGTTAAATAGCGAACATGGGACAGTCAGAAAGCCACAGGATTGGCTCTGAACTCTTCTTGCAGCACACAATTTTCAGGGTACTTCTTGGATATGGCTCTGTACACCTTCCCAGGCTAATGTGGGAACCTCCGCTGTCCTACGAATCTATGATCTAGTTCCACAGATCCTTCCACATATTACTTATATAATGGGGTGAGAAAAAGCAAAGGAACATGTAGGTTGAGTTGCAACAAAAATCTCCTAATGGAAATAGCTATTAAAGGAAAGTTCTTAAAACTTGAAACTGGACAGAATAAGAGAATAATTGGGAAACAACAAGGGCTTGAATCTGATAATCTGATCGGTCTTTTCAATCTCTAACTGCTATTTTTTCTTTTTAAGTAGCCTTTTCAAGAGTTCACAGTTCTAAGAAACAGTGGAATAAAATGGAAATTGGAAAGCAACAAAGTAATTGAGTTTACATTATAGAATAATGATCTAAGCATGGTATTATTGTTAACATCAACATTAGTATTTATTTAAGAGTTATATTCTAGTAGCACCTTAAAGATTATGACCAGGTTGGGCTCCTTATACTAGGCATTGTATGAACATATACAAATTTACTGTCTCTGCTCCCAAAGAATTCGAGCTTTGTTCTCTCCATCTGTCATCCTATCTTTCCGTCAATGAAAGGTATTTGCTTTATGTCAGGAGAGGGGGTACCATGAGAAAGCGATATTTATAAGTATTTTGGGGAAGTGGGATATTTTTTGTTGATCTTTATTAGGAAAAGGTTGAAATCTGCCACAGTAACAGGTTTTTTCCCTGTGTCCAAAGGTAAGAGAGAC